TATATATATATCAAGATATATATAATCATCTTGAATCAATCTACTGCAGGATAAGGCCTCTTTATTGAAGGCTATGGACCATAATCTACCATGCTGATCCAGAGCAGGTTGGTAAACAGATGTTTTCCAATTTTCTAGTCTATAGCTGAAAGAAAGTGACTGACTCAAAGTTGGCTTGACTTCCCTGCACAGACAGGAAGGATAAAAAGGAGGGAGTGAGCAATCGGGTCTTGTATTTGAACAAGATTGTGTGGTCCAGAGATTGGAAAAGATTGGTGCATGTACCTAAACCAAAAAAAAAAAGCAAGAGAATGTGCCAATTCAGATCATTGCATTATTCCATTGTACAAGCAAAACAAGAACTTATAAAGAAAAATAGAGCTATATATGAAGAGAAATGACAATTGAATAGGCAGGTTTCAAAAAAGTTCCATACTTTTTTGACATATGTAGAATGTTCAGCACTTTAATCACTTTTTCTCCTTCACTTTTAAACAGTTCTGTAGGTGTTTCTTCTGCACCCGATGCTTTCTAATTTTGCAACTGGTTTATTGCCTATTGTGCTTTACTTTCCACAGGTCTAAGCAGCATTGTCTGAGGCTAGAACTTGATAAGGCCAGAAGGCCAGGGACTGATTGTTGGGGATCAGCTGATATATTTAGATGGACAGGAACAACAGCCAGATTCAAGAGCTCCTACTGTCAGACCTGTGGGAGCTATTTGAGATCCATGGGATAAAAATCAGATGCAGAGCACTGCCTGAGAGTCTCACCCCAGCTACTTTACCGTATAACCATTTATTTGACTTTTAAGAAAGAAGAAAAGAAACCAAGACAGAACATCTCAAACAATGCAGCTTCAAATAATCTAGCTGGCACTTCTTTGTAAGATTCAGAAAAAGGAGTGGTGTTTACAGGACAGATGCTTGGAAAGAAACGAAGCCTAAATTTCTATGAGTCACACATTTTTCCCATTTTGTTTCCATTATTCCTAATTTTCAAGATCAGATTTGTGCAAGCAATAATATTCCCTGTGGCACTCTATGGAAGTAAAAGTTGGACTTTGAAGAAGCAGAATTAAAGACTACTGATGCTTTTGAACTCTGGTGTTGAAGAAGACTCCTGAGAATACTATGGATAGCCAAGAAAACAAACAAATGGTTCATTGAACAAACAACCCAGAGTTCTCACTTGAGGCACAAAGAGCCAGGCACAAATTATCCTACTTTGGATACATTATGCAAAGACTTAGCACTCTGGAGAAGTCTGTAATGCTGGGAAATGTAGAAGGAAAGAGAAGAAGAGGACAACCAGTAGCAAAGTGGATGGGCTGATACAGTGGCGACGGGCGCACTGATGGAAGACCTGAAAAACCAGGTTAAGGACAGATCATCATGCAGAAAATCTATTTACATGGTTGCTAAGAGTCAATACCAACTTGATGGCACGTAATCAATCAATCAATCAGTCAATCAATCCTTAATGTTCAGGCATTGAGCACTATTATTTTTATCTTATCATTCAAGCTGTCTGGAATCGGGCAGCCTCTAAATTTAATAAAATAAATAAATAAAACAAAGAGCAGGTATTATTACACAGAAAACCTTGAGGTTTGCAGAGGTATAAGTAATTATTGAGGAGGAGACTCAGAGGCAGGTATTTCAAAACAGCCCATTGAAAAAGGAGCATGGGGAGTAGTTGAGTGACCTTGGAAAAGTGTAAAAATCAAACACAAGGTGGAACCGAGGAAGTATGGCCAAGGAGAGCATGGCTGGCTGATTGGCAACTAGATAATTAGGAGCACTCTGTAAGCAATGTTTTTCATATCCTACTTGGTTGCTCCTAACTGGGAATGCAACCCGTACTGCTGTAACTTACACTCCGACCGAAAACTATCTAGACGTGGGTTTTCTGACCTCAACATGAAGTCAACTTTTGTTTTTTCTTCTGCCCACCAGGTTTATTTATCAGGCAGCCTGGCAGAGTTCTACAGAAACCTTGCTTGCTATTTTATTACCTTTTGATTTATTCTAATAAAGTATAACCCCCATTGTGGTTTTTAAAATTGGTACCAGAAATATGTTGCTGTATTGTTTTTCTTTCAATAGTTTTATGTATTTATTTATGTTATTAGAGGGATCAGAGTCACGACAAAGTTTTTTTTATCCTTTTTTATGTTCTAGCTAGTATGCAAAGAATAAAAAGAATGTCTTCCAAGCGTTTAAAAATTCCCTGTTGTTTCATCTAATACCCGCCCTTTTTTCCTGTAAAAGGAAAGGGGCAACAAACTGATCCTGAGTAAAACTGTTCCCAAAGGAACGCCGCCTATGAGCTTACTGATCAAAGAGCAGGAGAGAAAAGGTGTCCTGAAGTATGGGCAGTCGTGCCCTTGAAAAAGAAGGCGCCGGAGGCGTCCCGTTTCAGAGTGAATAAGTGGAACGAGAATGTTTCCTTAACGAGACAAGGAGGAGTGGTGACGTCACGCTTGCCCTCGCTACGCCGGTACTGCTTAGCCAATCACGATTAGAAGAGACAATTGGTTGTTCCGATTCAAACTGAACGGCGGGCGGGTCTCGAAGCCGTTTTGGTTGTACTGGGTGCCGCGCGCTAGTCCGGTGGGGTTCCAACGGCCTTTTCTCTCACGCGCCGCCTGGTAAGTAACATGGGGGAAGTAGGAAGAAAGCGGCGCGGGAGGCTGGTAGGGATTTCAGGGGCCATTTGGGAAGAAGAAGCTAGAAAAAAAGAGGGAGGCTAGTGCATCGCCGGCATTACGGTTCGTTTTATCAACGTGCTGCGTGGTTACGGAGCTTGCAGTTTTCCCCGGTATGACGGCTCTGTGAGGCGAAAAGGCTGAGGTTATCTTTATGGCCGGCCTGAATCTTGACGGACTTTTTATTTCACACGGTCTTTCCTTATTAAAACTGGTTACTGTGGTATTACCAAAATTGAAACGACCAGTCTTCAAATCCATTTCTGAAAATAGGTTTCTTGTAAATTGACAGAAATATCAGATATTGTAATAACAGTTTTTTTCATGATCCCTTCTAATATGCAGTTTATAATCCAACAATTTATGTGGAAAGCAGCAAAAAGCAGGGAAGGATAGGAATAAGCATGTGATTAATATTCAGATTAGGTTTTTTTCTCAGGAATGAAATCTTGTTGGAGGCTTTACAAAAATAAGAGGTTTGGAGGAGGGGTTGAACGGAAAGAAGTCCACGGCATGAAAGACTGGGTCATTTAAAGAAGCAGGATCTATTTAGATATCTGAAGGTAACCAAACTGAAAGAGCAAAGGTTATGGTAAGTATTTATTGGAAGTTGAGGTGGTAGGATGAAAGCAAGTTTACAGAAGACTTTGAAGGTAGGGGTAATGACCTCTTGGATTAAAGGGTACACAAAAGCCCAGTGAGGAGCTTAATGTGATCTGCTCAGTAAGGGAGGTGATTTGTCAGTAGAATTTTGACTGATCCAGTGGAAAATGAGAAAGTAGAAAGTGGACCTGGGCATTGCTCCTGTTCATTGAGTATATGGGTGTGATTTGATTGATACAGTATATCAGAATAGAGGAGAGTTTAAAGAAAGACAAGTTTGGTCTTGGATTTATGGCAGTGAAATATTTAAATGGAAATATCAGATCAGGAGTTAGAGGTGGGATGAATGGAATAGGAATGTTCTGTAATTGGAGTTAGAGGTAATAATTGTCTAGGCACTGATGTAAGCTATCTAAAGGTGATGAATTCATTCATGCATATGAGAGGGAATATACAGGATACAGAACACATGCTTAAGAAACTTCAGTGGACAGGGAAAAAGCAGAAACCTCCCTGCCCACCCCAGTATTAAATAATTAGAAGGACAGCATTATAGCAAGCAGTTGAATGTGTCAGCTGTACTGAAAGCAGCAGTGCTGAAAACAATATTGAGAAGTTGAGGTCCTTGTATTTTCGACATATTATTCAAATAATATTATTTGAGATAATATTAGTCATTTGGATAAGAGCAGTTTCATTGGACCATAGAACCAGAAATCATATTTTGAGGACACAAATGGGGAGGGTCAAGAGAAGTGTTATGGAAGCAAGACTAAGTGGTACATTTGAGAAGCTTAGAGGCAAAGGTAAAAGGCGAATTGGGCAGTGCTTTAAATTGGTTTGTTTGTTTTTTGTGCCTTCAAGTCAAGTTTTGACTCCTGTCAATTACTTGGACTAGTCCTTGCAGTTTTCTTGGCAAGGTTTTTTGGAAGTGGCTTGCCATTGCCTCCTATCTAGAGCTGAGAGAGAGAGTGAGTGGCCCAGTCACCCAGCTGGCTTTGTGCCTAAGGCAGGACTAGAACTCAGGGTCTCTAGCCTGATGCCTTAACCACTACACCAAACTGCCTCTCGCTTTAAATGTACAGCCATATTATTATTATTGATAAAATAATGGCATGATTAAATACATTGGAAGAGTGATAGCTGATTATATGGTGCAGAATGGTAATAGTAGGATAGATGTAAAATAAAAGCTGAGAGGTAAAATCAAGGGAATGCATAAAAGTATAGGTAAGGAATAAGGGAGTTTGTCTAATGTAAGCTTTGATGTTTCTTGTTCCTATTCCTTTTCTGATTAATAACAATAATAACTCCTTCACTTCCCCCTTGTGCCAAATCCCTTGTCCTAAGGGCAGCAATCTTGCTTGCAATTATTACTTTCAGTATCTGATAACAACTACTACTTTTCTGTGTCTTTAGAAAATACATTCTTTTAAGTCCTTATCCAGTAGGTGCTTGAGGTTCTGGATTGCGGGAATTTAGGAGCTGAAAATCATGTTTTGCCTTTCCTTCTTTACAACTGTGAAGCTATGGGACATTACAATTTTAAATTTGTGTTTCTCCAAATAAGCATGCAGTAATGGTAATGGGATATTTCAGTTATCCCAACATCTAGGAATCTAATTCTGCCAAGAGGTAAAGGCACAACGGTTCTTGTCCTCTTTTGCTAACAACTTTATTTCTCAGAAGATAGAAGAAAACATTTTTATGAAAGCTTAGCCAAGGTCCAGATTCACTATGTCTAAATGTTCCCCTGATCTATTAAGCTAATCACTCTGCCAAAGGTAATAAAGATAGCCTGACACAATCTGTTTGTGATAAATCCATGCTGGTTCCTGTTAATCTTGTATACCTATCCAAGTGCTTACAGACATGTTGTTTGATAATCTGTTCAAGGACTCTGCCCAGTACAAATTTTTGTTTTCAAAAGCTAGATAATAAGTTGTAGTTTCCTTATATTAATTTTAAGGAAAAAATGAAGGCGTTAAAATTTGCATAATGTGTTATGGTTGTCCATTCACCTATTTCAGCAGAATTTAACTTTTTTCTACAGGCTATTGGGGCACTTCCAGGTCTACTGTCTATTTATAGAATTGTTTGTGTTTTGTTATAGGCTAAGATAATTCTGATTTTGACCTTAAAGGATATTGTTTTGGTGAAAGATGAGTGGGTAAGGGCAACTAACTACATTAATTTTCTCTAATGGGTTATGACTGTCTCTTGATAAGTAAGATACTTGGAGGAATAGAAACATCTTAATAGTGTATTTGTTAGTCTGATTTTTCTTTTGATTGGAATGAAAACTGAGTTATACTTAGAAAAAGCTGCTGTCGGCAGAATAATTAGAATTCTTGTGCAACTTGTTTATTGTCTGTTTATTAGATGTTTAAACTGCTGAATTCATATAACTGGGAAACTAGTTGGTGTAATGATTAAGGTAGCAGACTAGAAACCTGGAGACCATGAGTTCTAGTTCTGCCTTAGGCACAAAGCCAGCTGGGTAACTATGGGACAATCACACTCTCTCAGTTCTAGTAAGGAGACAATGGCAAACCACTTACAAAAAACCTTGCCAAGAAAACTGCAGACACTAGTCCAGGCAGTCACCAGAAGTTAATGATTGACTCAGACAAAAAATAAAAATAAAAAATTATGTAACTCTCAAGCTGTTACAGTGGGAAAAAATCCACAATACATTGGTACAAAGATAATTTTAAATATTTGTTATGATTATTTTTATGATCTGAAAACCAGAGCATATAAACATTCTGTAGTGGTACCTTAAATAGTTTTATTGTGGTTTTCTGATTTCAGTGGGAGCTACCCTAGAGTTGTCCTTTTCAAAACCTTTTCAGTCTACAGAACCTGTTTAAAGAATAAAAAGCAATGTATGGCATCATATGGACATGGCGGAAACAAGGATAGTTTGGCATGGGTAGAAAATATGAGGAGATACAGTGGATGGTGTTGGTTTAAATTAGATTTTGCTGTATTTCCTTTTATCTCGTGCTTTTAATTTCTTTTGTTTACTATTTTTTACTCTTTTTCTGCACTTCGTATATTTTTGCTTACCCCAAAGCAAATAGAATCGTGGATATGCTTCTACATATCCATCATATGACCATTGATGAGGCATAAACTTTAAGCTCTGGAAATTTGCAGAAAGGTATTAGGAAACTGGAATGCTAATGCTGACCTATGGTATGTTCATGTTGCATACAGATGCAAAATAAACAGCTTAAACTCTAACATATAGGTTGCATGTACTTATATGACCAGATTTTGATTTAAGCTCAGAATTGTTTTGTGACCTCACAGAACTTCTGAATCTGGGCATTCCTAAAGGTGTTTCTCATTTGGAAGAGAGCCACTGAGATATTTTTTGTATTTGAGAGGCAAGCTTTGACTTGTGTAAGATAACTATGTTTTAGCTGCTGCTCTTTTTTGTGAATTTTGTGAATTTATTTTTTTTAGTTCTAAATCCTATTGAACTCAGTGGGTTTTAAAAATATGCAGTACTGTATTGGTAAATGTCTAAGTTTACATGAGCAGATTTCTACTCATATGATGAGACTTCCTATTACTTTTTGTCCCAAATTTGCTTTGAAGGAAATTCTTTGAAACATATTTGGAGGATGCTTAGAAGTTAGGTTAAGTTTAAGAATATTTTCTGCTGTGAATTTAGTAACAGTGGTTACAAAACTATTAAACTCCATAAACTGTTAATGATTTGGGGCACAGGAAGAAATAGCATTGTTCTTTGCTTCTCATTTCCCAAATGATAGAATTTCCAGGCAGATTTAGTTTATTTGTAAGCAGAATTTTGATTCATTGTGGGTTTTTTTATCTTGCAATGTTTACTTGTCTTCAGATTGAATATTAATGGACACACAACCTTAAATATATTGGTTAGTAAAGCAGCTGCCATTCATTGCAGAGTAACAGCTTTGACTCCTTGGACTACTACAAATATTCAAAGTTCTGCATATCTTCCAGCTTTCATTATTTTCCTGCAGTCTGCATCAAAGTCTGTAGGTATGCAATACCTAGTAATCATCAGATATATATACAAGCATCTTTAATGAGTTCTTCCCATTAAATGAATGTATTTATTTCTTAGCTATATAGTTATACAGACTGTTGAAGCAAATATATCTTCTTATTTGACAGAATCAGAACTGTTCAGGTTTTTTATGTTGTCATTTAAAAGGCTGTAAATAGAGTAGTTATGCAAGCAGATGTGCTTTTAATTTAATAGCTTGGAAGGGAAAGGTCAAATATGGTTTTCTTTAAATGATTTTCCTTGCTTTGATATAAAGCAGTCTTTCCCAGCCTGGTATGCATTGAATGTATTATTTTATAGCTTGCGTATTTTCTAGCCAATATAGCCAACTAATACTTATAGGAACTGTAGTCCAGAATTTTGAAGGGCACTAGGATAGGATATATTTACTGGTTTGGAAAACATTAATGGTAGTGATTCTGACTGATAGCTGTGATAGAGGAGGAAAAAAATGTTTTGGTGGTGAAAAAAATAAAAGTCAGGCTGAAACAAAAAAAAGTGACAAAAGAATAGATCAAGATAGCGTGTGGCACTTGAACAGACTTATAATGCTGGAGTAATAATTACTAAATTTATATGTTGCCTGACTCCCAGCTACTCTAGACAGGTACTCCCAGCAACTCTAGGAGGTGTAGTAACACTGTAATTTAGCAATCGATCACACTGAATAGTAGTATTTATTACTTAATATTCATATTAAGCAGAACATACTTCTGCTAACTGCCTCATTGTGGTGGGGCAGGGGGAGGTGTTCCTGGGAAGGATGAGTGAAGAACACCAGGAATGTGTGCCAAGAGTATATACTCTCAGCAAGGTCACCCAAGGTGTGAAGATCATCCCAACTGCCCAGCTAAATCAAGAAGGTACCTATATTGGGTGGCAGGGATGTATGAAGATGATGGAGGCAGATTATCACTTTAGTGACAATGACAAAGGCATCATTTCATATTATGCAGGAGAAGGCAACCCACTTCTGTATTTTGCCAAGAAAATTACATGGCTAGATAATAAAAAGTGATCAATGATATCATGCCAGATGATGGGCCCTTCAAATCAGATGGCATTCAACATACTGCTGAGGAGTACTAATGATCTTTATGATGTGGCTTGATTAAAGTATTTGGGACATCTAGTTGCTGATGTTGCCATGCAGGAAAAGAAAATCCAAAGGGGCAAAAACAAAATTGCATTGGGTACATGGAACATAAGAAGCATGAACGTGGGAAAGCTTACCACAGTGAAAGACAAAATGAATTAACTGCATATTAACCTCTGAGGCATCAGCCAACTGAAACTGACTGGAATTGAATGCTTTTGGTCAGAATATCATGCTGTTTACTATTCAGACCATGAAAAACAAAGAATGAGTGGTGTTGCTTTCAGAGTCAGGAAGGATATAAAGACAGTAATTGGGTATAATGCAGTCGATGGCTGAATAATATCAGTTAAACTTTGTGGACAATCTTTTATATGACAATTATCCAAGTTTGTGCTCCAACCACTAATGCAGAAGAGGAGGAGGCTGAGAAATGTTATGGTCAAGTTCAATCTGAAATTGATCAAGCATGCAAGCAGGATGTGGTATTTGTGATTGGAGACTAGAACACCAAAGTTGGAAATAGTAAGAAGAAAAACATGGTTGGACTGTGTAGCCTATGTAACAGTAATGAAGCAAGAGGATTATTGGTTTCTGCCAGTCCAGTGATTTCTTCATTGCTAACACAGTCTTTGACAGCCAAAACAATGGACATCACCAAATAGAGAACACAGAAATCAAATTGACTATATTATTTGTACAAGGATGTGGAATGGCTCAGTTTTAACAACAAAGTTGTAGTCAGGGGCTGACTGTGAAACAGATCAGTTAAATGAATCACCATGGGTCATTAAGCGAGGATGTCACACGGTTGCTATTTGTGACCTCCTGCCGGCTTCCCCATTGACCTTGCTTGTCAGATGCTGGCAAAAAAGGTCACAAAATAGTGACCACAGGGACACTGTGATGGCCAGACCTCTGAGGACCAGTTGTAAGTACCACCCGTTCAGTGCTGTCACAAATTTGAACAGTCGCCGAATGAGTGGTCATTAACCAGGGATGTCCTGTATGAAGAAGACCAAACTAATGACAACAGTTCAGCAACCAGACTTGAAGATACTGAAGTGGTAGATAGTTTCTGCCTTTTAGGATCAACTATCAACATCAAAGGAACTAGCAGTCAAGAAATTTGCCGCAGACTAGCTTTTGATAGGGTAGCAGCGAAGATGTTGAAAAAGGTATTCAGTTGCTCTGATATGTCATTATCTACAAAGTTCAGAATCACACAGGCAGTGATTTTCCCTGTAACACTCCATGGAAGCAAAAGTTGGATTTTGAAAGATATTGTATCTTTATTGTATAATATTTGGGATGTGTGTAGAGACTGTAGTGGATAAAATTAAACAGAATGGAGGCTGTACCCCCCCCCCTTGTCTTTTGCACATGATCAAGATCAAATGCAGCTCCTCTCTTAGTCTAATTCTATCAGAACCAAATTGACCTTCCTCAGACAAAATTCTCTGCAATTCCATCTAAACCAAAGAATAGATGCCTCCTCAGCAGTTCACAGTATAGCCCAAGGGCAGCCTTAACAAGGGAATTACAACAGAATAACAAGAAACTGCTCCATCACCTAATGACCTCAACATTCCATTTCTTAACAATGGACTTGTCCAGCTCTGCTGCCCTCCTGAAAGGCCTGTTTTGCCTAACGATAGAAATAACCCCAGGTGCAGGGATAAGGACCTGCCTAGCTTCCCCAAACTGGCCAGCAAATCAGAACCCTAGGATTTCCTGCCTGCTAGACCTCAATTTCTATAAAAATCTTTGCTTTTCCATTGTTTGGAGTCCCTCTTTCTTGTAAAGCAAAAACCCAAGAAGTGTTATGTTCCTTCTTCAAACAGAATCCACAAGTCTTTGTAGCATTTAATTGTATGGTTATGCTATTTTCCTTGAGTAGAATAGCGGGCAACAGTCTTTCATAAGTTGCTTTTCCCACAGAGAGGAAAATTGGTCTTTCATTTTTGACATAGTTAAGGCACAGACATTTGGTCTGTTGATAAAGTAATTAGTGAAGCTTTCTGCAACTTGCTGAAGTGACTAGCCCTTGAGACTGAATCAGAATCGGTTATGTGTGATTGTTTTTAATTTGTAACACCAAGCAGGGTTTTTTTTTTTTTTTCAGTTTAATAACTGTAAGCATCTCAGACTTGAGTTCAGCTATGCTAAAATCCTCTGCTTGGTATGGCTGCTGTCATATTAAAAGAAATACACAGAATGAAAACATTTTAGTTCCCAACAGCGATCCATGCAAGCATTGTGGATAAAATATAAGCTAATACACATCTGTACAGGAAATTATGTGACCCCATTATCTCATATATAATTTGATTTGGAAAAATTCTGCATGCATGCGTTGTAGTATATGAAGTACTATTTCATTGATAGTGGCAAATATGTGAAGCAGATAACATTTGATCTGTTTTACTTTCATTAGGCTAAACCAGATGTTCTTTGGAAAGACTTGGCTTTTGATTCTGAGCCTCATGCAGTACAGAATTTAAGGTAAAATATTACATTTATTAATAATATCCATATATTTGTATACATCTACAAACTAATCAAGTCTTACACTACTGCTTGTGCCATTTTGGCTAACATTTGTTTTTAAATAATGAGATATTAGCTCTTGTCAGACTTCTCTGCAAGCTCAACTGGAACAAATAACTAGTCACGCAAGGATATAAATATTTCTGATTACTGTAGAAAAGATGAGAAGCCATTACAAAAGTATTCTGCTGATTGTTCTGTTCGACAGTAATCTATGTTAAATTCTTGTAACATTTTCTCCTGCCTGCTCTATATAAAATTAGAAGTGATTTGCTTTTCGGAGAAGAGACAGATTTTTTAAAAATTAATCATTTTTTTTAAAGCAAAATAAGAGAAAATGATACAAAGATATATCAGTAAGTGACAAAGAAGTTGTGAAAGTTGTACAGTTAGTGCTCAGTATATCATTAATGAAAAATTAACCATAAAAACAGAATAAAGTTGTTTCTAACAAAAAGGAAAAGGATTTTAAAAATCTTTTTGAATCTCTGAGCTGAATGCCAATATCTCCACTATTTTATTATTTAAAGATAAATCATGCATACATCCCCAAAAAAGAAGAAAAACTAGTAAAAATATTATGTAAATATTTAGTTTCTAACTTTCCCTTTGTTATACAATATTTACAAACATTTTTTTCATATATTTCTGATATCAGTTTTTTGGTCAATTCTTTTTCCCCTTAAAACCATATTCGAAATGCTTAACTTTGCCTTGCTGCATAATATATAATATATATAAGCCATTCTTGCTTAAATTTGGTAAAACGTCTGTCGTTCATATATGTTGTTAACTTTGCCATTGCTCCGTATTCTCCAAGTAAGCTTAAGTTCCTAGTCTAATATTGTTGGTAGCGTATCCCTTTTCCAATCTTGTATTAGGTTTATTCTTGTGGCTGTGAACATGTATCTTAGCAAATTGTGGTATCTTTTTGTTCATATGTATTGGAATTATGCCTAATTTTTTTTTTTAAGTGATTTCAAATTTGGTGAAGAGTCAGTTTCCATTGTTCTGGTAATGTCCAGATTTGGTACCAAGCTATTTGCTTTTGACCATGTGACTAATTCCCGTAGTTGTATTCCATTTCCCTTCAAGAATTTCTGAGATGTCCCTTTCCCTTTGCATTAACATAGTAGCAATTGCCCTGATAATTCTTAGGGTGTTCTGGAGTAAGACATTATAATGTTGCTTCTCAAGTATCGCTATGTAACATACTGAGTTTAGGTGGAATACAAATGATTTTGAAAGATTTGATACATTTTTGGGCAAAATAATAAAAGAGTAAATTAAGGGAATGATTTTTTTTCCACTGATGCTTTCTCATATACTTTTAAAATCAATATATTTAACGCCTCCGTGTACCTCCCCTTATGCTGCACTTGAAAGAAAGGATATAGTACTGTAGTGGCTAAGAGGAGATAGGGAAAGGAAGGTCTTGGGAAGATTAAGGGTAGTGCGCCTTAATCAGGATTCGGGCCAATCTCACCTGGGGGTAGGGGATGTTCCATAGGGCAGGTGCCACGGCAGAGAAAGCTCAGCTCCTGGGTCTGTAACATGCCCTTCCTCCTGGACCTGATGGGACAGGTAGATGTAATCAGGAAGAGGCAATCCCTCAAATAACCTGGCCCCATGCCATGTAGGGCTTTAAAAGTCAAAACCAGCACCTTAAATTGAGCCCAGAAGCAAACTGGCAGCCAATGCAGCTTACAGAGCAGAGGTGTAACATGTGTAATTCTAGGAGTACACATATGAAGGAAACAAAATAGAAATTTACAAGTGAGTACTAAAAGCCATAAATCCAGGCAGTGTTATGAATTTAAAACTTGGTGCATGAACTTGAGGAAATTATAGGTTATTTTCCTCTATTACAACAGCATCTCCCACCACAAAGCTTTGCAAGCAGTTTTCTCAAATGGAAGTCTTAAAAGCAGTTTGTTTTATTTTTTAAAACTTACCTGTTCAAAAAAGTGAAAAACAAACAAAAGCCTAGCATTTTTTTGTGAGCTGAAGTAGTGAGGTTTTAATGCCTGGATGTTTCCAGAAGCAAGGACAGTGTTTTCTCCATGACCTGAAAATAAAATAATATTTTGCCTTGATTGTAGTGGTGACAAATATTAATAACAATATATAAATATGCATGGCATGTATAATGCTTCAAGTTGGTTTAAGACTTTTACATTAAAATGTTTATAAAAAGGTGGTTCTTAAATTGTTATGAGTTGATTTATAGATTTTAATTTAGATTTTAAACAGGTTGATACCAAGATTCATTATAAGCAAGGTGTAGTATTGGTAAAATATTTTGTATCCCTTCTACTGAAAACCTAATTTATTTATTACTTAAGATTTTCTTGTAAATATTTACTTCCTTAAGGTCTTTAGTTTTCCACTTTGCAGGGGAAGTACTATGTATCTTCTAGAGATATTCTGATATCAAGGACTGAAGTATCCTATGGCTTGACAGCTAGATGAAAGAAGAACAGATTGTTGGTTGTGTTTCTTCCTCCCTTTCTTTATCTCTGGGGATATGTTTAGTTTACAGCAGCTGAAAGGATCATCTAAATTTTTACCTGGGTTGGAATGTGGTAGCTCCTATGTCAGGAATGCAATGGCTGTGGATGATTTTTCAGAGATCAGAAAGAGCAGTTTTGTAATTGGTTTTCCAAGGTCTGAGCTCCCTTTCCACCCTTGGAGGGAAAAATTCAGTCTCACACAAGTCATTAAGGCTTATCAGAGACAACTGGATTGCTTCTAGATCTTCATTTCCAACTACTGTACAGGACAGTTTACATTAATTTTTGCTAACTTTTATCTTTCCTGTTGCCTATTTCAAACTAAATCCTTTATTGGCAAGGATCTATGTTTTACTTATATAATTTCATAAATCTCTTTGTATACAGCTGTTGAACTCTACTGTACATGATTTTTGCAAGATGTCTGATATTAGCTTAAAGGGGAAAGCAAAGGTATGTGTTTTGGGGTTACAGTCTTCAGAACTTTATCTATAGAGAGAAGTGAATATTGATACAATGGTTGTGTTATTCAGATTACAGTTTGCTATACTGTAAATCCATAGCATGATTATTCTTCACTTTAAGATGTGAATCACTAGCAAGGATTGCTGTTCCTGGCAAAAAAAGAAGGCAAAAATGAACTAATTTCTGAATTATTTCAGTTTCATTTGATAAAGATGGAGACAACAATGCTGAATTTACGGAATCTCTTTGACCAACTCATATGCCAAGCAGAAATTCTAAATGAAGGCAGTGAATACCGTAAGTGGTCACTTTTTATGGATATTGTGCAGGTGAATCATGTTAGAGACACAAAAATAAATGTAAGAGACGCACATATAAATATCATATTTGAAGGTTCCTTCTTGCTCTGTAATTTCCTTGAAAGGTAGGCATGAATTTTTCCAAATTCGTTAGATCACCTAGCATAGGTCTGTTACCTAACTTAGGAAGCACGATTAATTTGATGTCTGTCTGTCTTGTGTAGAAAACTAATCTGCATAACAACCAGCAGGTTTGTACAATGTGGTTTCTAGGCAACAGTGTAGAGCAGGTAGTTAAAATATTATGGTTCTGGTAGTTCCGTTATTCTGTTGTCTCAGGGAATCAGGTTACATTGCCATGTACTATTGCAGGTCTCAAAAGAGCCCAAGTTAAGTCTATGTAGTGTTAGAATCACAACATCTATAATAATGACTTGGAGGGGTTAAGGAGAAAATACTGGCTAATGAAAAGTTTCAACAGAAGAGAGTATATGTAGCTCAGGGTTGAACTGTGAAGTCCTTGGGGTTTTCTGAGCTTGGTTGTTTTCTTGCAAACATTTTGTTACCCGGCTAAGTAACATCTTCAGTGCTAGGTATATAATACCTAGTATATAATAGTATATAAACAGAGAGCAAATCCCACTCCATTCTAGCACTGAAGATGCTACCTAGCTGGCTAATGAAACATTTGCAAGAAAACAACCAAGTTCAGAGAACCCCAAGGACTCCATAATGAAAAGTTTGTCCAATGCTTTATGGATATCACTTATCAGGATAGAATGTTTGTATCCACTTTAGGGTAGTGTTGAGCATCGAAGGGAAATTAGTTTTTTTTCCCTTTTGGATCAATGTTTTTAAAATTGTCTATCAAGTTGCTAGTCCAAACATCTATAGTACTAATCAACATCAAATGAAGCATATTTTAAACTTTTCTGTTGAATGTCTTCCTAATGTCATAATCTTTGATTAATATAATCTGTTCTCAATTTAGTTATGACTGCAGTTTTATTCTTTGTATGGCAGTTGCCCATTCATATTACATAAGTTGCCTTAGTAAGATGATTGTTTTTTATTGCATGATATCACTGATCATGCTTAACATGGAAGTACATTGAATAGCTGAACTGAAATCTTTGAACTGGATTATAGGGAAAAATGTATTGATTTTGCCTGTTTAATCAAAAATAAGTTCCACTTCATTTGGGCTTATGCCAGGTAAGCATTCAGTACTCTACAGAGTAAACTGAGTACAACTTCTTTTTCTAAACTGTGTTCTGAATCATCAGGTTTTCCAACGCCCAGGTATTATCTATTTAGATTATTATCAAGTTGAATTGAGAATATATTTAAAGAGGAAATAAGAAAAAAGCATTAGAAAATTAATCAATTGTAAATTGAATAAAACTGCACTTTTCCCAGAATTTATCCAATTGGCCAAGAATTTTGAAGAGTTCAGGAGAAAATGGCAGAAAATGGATCATGAGGTGGCCAGATACAAAGATCTACTGATGAAAACAGAAACTGAGCGTAGTGCTCTAGATGTGAAACTGAAGCATGCACGCAACCAAGTAGATGTGGAGATCAAGAGAAGACAGCGAGCTGAAGCAGATTGTGAAAAGTTGGTATGTATAACATTGCTTATCTTGTTTTTTAAAAAATGGCATCAGATTTAGAAGAGGAATGTAAGAGCTTTGTTGAATATCTTTCCATTATGTAACAATAGTAGCAAGCCTTTATTTTCAGAAGATATAAATACATTGTAATGATGCTATGAATGTGGGTTTCTTATTTGGCTGATAAAGCTACAATAAACGCTTGGTTTAATAGATCTCAATTTAGTGGATTTTAGATATAAAGTTTTTATCCTGCAGCACCCTGAAATAAGGGACTTGTTGATTATTTGGAAAAGCAGTCTGGGCAGTGGTCACTGCTTCCCTTAAAAAATGGGTTTGTTTCTATTTGAATTCTAGATGAGGGAGAGAAGGTACTAGGATGATTGGGTGGGCTAGTGGGATATACGCACATTTAATATTTGAATTTTTGCTGAGAAAAGGGGAGAGAGGAATACACTAAGAAGCTCAGACAGCTGGGTGGGTTCACAATGGGGCAGCAGTGGCTTAGTCAAGGGTAGGAGACAGATGGGATAATGCTGGGAAGATCAGCAAGTTGCATGCTGGGCAGTGACTGAGGGTAGGAAAAGTTCCTGGAGCTGACCTCCAGGAAGGGAAAGAAAATAAGTGGAGGGTTTGAATTTAATGGACAACCCTTTTACAAGAACAGTCTGTTAAATTAAATTTTTACTGTATGGTAATGTGATTACTTGCCTGCAATGGATAAATAATGTGTAATAATTTTAATTTCACTGGTGACATATGGAGTGATTTCCATTTTGTGATACAATAAGGTTGTTTTTATGAAAGTGAACATTTTGCTAAAGTCAAGGCAAAGTAGAGAACCTGTTGGCAGCTTAACAGTGGTGAATGGATCCTTCTTGTGTACTTATTTCTTAGACCTCCCCATTTAATGTGGAGTGTAGTTTTTAAGTGGGATTTACAAGATTATTCCACAAATACAATAGCCACAATTGCCCATTCTTCTCTACTTCTTTTCCTTTCTTTGTGGGACTAAAATGGTGAATTCTTTTGAGATTAGTCAATAGTATTAGTAAGATACCAGCAAATTGCTTTATAACTGAAAGAAATCTATTTGAAGTACGTTAGCTTTTACACTGGTTAGCGGTTGGCGCCAACAAAATCCCTTGGCTGCTTTAATCTGATGCTATAACTTGAGAGATCAGTGTATGTGCCTTGTGTAGGGATTAATATGCTAGTGGGATAGTTGTGTTTCTCAGAAGGTTTTGCATATTATGGGCTTTCTGTGCTATAAATGTAATATAAAGCTACTCTTAATGTTTCCCAATTTGTAGGAGCAACAGATTCAGCTGATCAAAGAGCTTCTCATGTGTGATTCATCAGGCAGTATACAGCTAAGTGAAGAACAGAAATCAGCACTGGCTTTTCTAAACAGGCCTCAGACTTCTATGGGTGGCAACAAAAGGTAGGCTGTGCACAGTTTATTTTAGGTGGATTAGACTGTAAAAATGTAATGGCTAGTGTAATCTTCATTCATTTTGATTAGGGAACATTTTCCAAACCTGTTGAAATTTTGCTTAGAGTCAGAAGTTAAAGATTCAAACATGTTCACAGGAGTTACTTAAAATAGCAAGATACAATCCTAACACATTTTTGTGTGTGTGTTTGTATTTCAAGTGTTGAAGCACATGGGTTGCAAGTGGCATTGTTAAGCTTCAGGATGACTTTGCAGTTTAGATCTCTTTATGTCTGATAAGCAGAGTTCTCAGTATTATTATAAATTAGAGTTAGTTGAAGTGAAAAACCAGTGTATTTTTGTTTAAATACTCTTTTTGTTATAGTAGAATTATTTTATCTGTAAGCCTATCTTGAAAAAGTTTTCCTGTGATGTAGGTTGTTAACCTGAATGTTAATAATTTTACATCAATAATCTAAAAATAAGAACTGTTTCAGATTTTTTTCCAGGAACTGATCTAGTTCCAAAGAGTAATCATTTTTCTTGTTTGGCAAAGAGCTATTCAGTCTGAATCCACATTTAATAGATATTAGGAGGGTTTATGTTGTATTATCAAGCACATGTTTTTGTTAATCAAGAGTTTATCACTTGGGAATTGCAAAGAGTAGCTTTGGAAAACCCTGATTTATAATAGTACTAACATCAATATTTGTTAAATAAAGTACAAATCTGTAAGGTTTTAGTGGGAGTATTGCACTGAGTTACCCCTCCCATATTTTGCAGCAAGAAAACACATCTTCCTGATCAAAATAATTATGAGGCTAAGATTTTAATTTGTTTTTTTAACCAAAGATTACAGTGGAGGTTAAAAAAAAAAAAGGAAAATATGATAAGATGGGAGGGAAATCATGGAATACACAACTACATAAAAGGGGTAAAGAACTTAGTAATATTAATAATTGGCAGCTGAAAGGTGATCACCAAACTCTGGTTTTACTTTTGAACTTTTACCACATTAATCCAAGATATTCGATTTATCATTGTGGTAAGTCTCTGAGAATTGAATAGAATGGGACCAAATTGGGTGGCAAAAAACAAAGATTGAGTTGGAAAATGGCCTGGATCTGGCCAGGAGCTGCAGAGAAAAATACCCCCCAGGGCATTCCTGTGGGAGAGGGAGTAAGGCAGTTGCTCAGATAGTTGCTGGCTGTCCCATTATAAGTTGCCTCCTGCTTCTTTCCCCATCATGTAACTCACATCAGAGCTATTTTTAAGGGATTGGAAAGAATTCCAGAAACAGTGCTCTACATGCTTTCCCTATCTTGCCTTTCCTGGAAGCTAGGATTCTCAGAATTCCAACTTCTATCCCATGAAGTATGTAGTTTCATATATAGGCAGGATGGATCCATTACTGCATAACTCCAAGTATGTATGTATACTCACTGGTTACACAAATATACCCAAATTCTATAAATACATGAAATGATATTAATAATATTTCCTGGGTTTTTTATAGTTTTTCTCCAAGAGGCTTTTGGTGGTATTTAGCCAAACTTAAGGGTAACTCTAGTAAATGTTTATTGTGAAGAAACTCGACTCCCATTGTTTTCAGCAGTAGCATTAAAGACATGTTTAGTGTTGTCCCAGTGAAACCACTGAAATTTAATGTTTAACCTGAGTTGTTGCTATAAAAATGAATCTGTGACTTTTAGTATTGTTACAGTAAAGTTTCTATATCAAGATGCCAAATTCAATATTTTGCATGGATTGAATAACAGAGTTCTGTATATGTTGCAACATTCTTTGTAATAGGCTCTGTTTGCTTATAAAATGTTGGTTTACTATATTTGATAAGATGAGATTTTAAAATTTGTGATTTTTATTTTAGATTGTCAACAATAGATGAATCTGGTTCAATTTTATCTGACATCAGTTTTGACAAAACGGACGAATCATTGGTAACGTAACTGCTATCTGAATTCACTTCTTGTACTGTCGTACGATAATATTTTTAAAATGATCCTTTTAAATCCTATAGGTGAATTGTTCTTAAATATTGAATATGTTAAGTTAGGCATAAAAATATGAACAGACTGAACATGTATGTTTGTCATCTGTGGGATACTAAAGAGATTCTTTTCTAATATCTAGGATTGGGATTCCACAATGGTAAAGACTGTTAGGCTGAAAAAAAGAGAGAAAAGAGTATGTATAGGGTTTTTTTTCTTCTTTTTATTTGTTTGTATTATCTGATGCAAAGAGTGGGTTTCATTTATTATTGAACTTTGCATTAGTGATTGGGGGTATGCCTGCAATGCAAATGTTTTGAGCTTTGGTACATTTAAGTCATATATCAATATACGTAATTGTTATTTTTTCATTAGAATTATATTTCTCTGTCTGAATTTTTTTCTTGTTTGATGCTGACAGAATACCCTAACAGGCTGGCATTATGTAGAGAACCATTTAATTTCCAGATCTGTTGCTTGTGCCAAAAAATCTATTTTCTTTCAGTGTTTAATGTTTTACATTAAACTTTGATAATAAATAAGACAATTCTGGTAAACAGATTTATGGAATCTATTTATGGAATAGATGTGGAAATTGCTGTCACAGTTTTGCTTTCAGTTAATATGCAGTTGAACTTTGGGGTTATATTTAATATACAGTATATTAAAGAGAAAGTATACTTGAGATAATCTATCTCCCTTCCCATTTAATTCTCTTTACTTTCATCTGCTCTGGTTACTACATGAGGTGGGCAAAAAGTCAGAGTCACCCACTGGGGGAGATGGGCAGCATACAAATGTAATAAATAAATAAATAAAAAGGGTATTGTCTCTGCATGTTCCAGGTAAGAAAGGATAATTTAGAGAAATTATTGACTTCATATTCTGCTTAGATTCCTTATAAATACAGAATTTAAAACTCTTGTAGAATTTTCACTTTACTCAAGAATGCTGTTTTCACCCAAATAATTACATGTTTCCTTTACAGCGCTCTTCTAGGCAGTTTATTGAAGGTCCACCTGGTCCTTTAAAGAAAACCCGTTCCATTGGCTCTACAGTAGATCAGGTATGTGCTTTTATAAACGCTATAGTAGATTCCTTCCAGAATTAGGTTCTGATCTTTAAATACCACACGTTGATGTATAGAGGGGGTGTTTATTAGTATTTATTGTTTTTTATTATTCACTGCAGGTTCAACAAGCTCATTACCCATTAGGAGGGCACTATTAATGTATATAACCACCTCTTTATGCCCAAGCTATAAGGTAGTATTCTCCAAGGTGGCACCTTCCTGATGTGATGATAGCTATTCCTAGATATGCTTTCAAGTTTTGATTATGCTGACTGAGAATTTTGGGAGCTGCAATCTCAGTGCATCTGGAATATACTAGTTTGGAGAAAACTGTTGGAGAGTATAGAATCATGTGGCAACTTCTATTTCTCATTTGAAATCAGGATTTTAATTTTTGTTGCTGCAACCATTTTATTTCAGGGAAATGAATCAATAGTTGCAAAAACAACACTCACAGTACCTAATGATGGAGGCCCAATTGAAGCAGTTGCCACTATTGAGACTATACCTTACTATGTTGGAAATCACAGAAAGGCAGGTAAGTGACTCTTTGTATGAAATTTAGAATATTGTGACTTCCTCGTTACCACAGTTTTTAATCTGTGTTTGCCAGTAGCAATCTAGATGCTGACAGAAATGAAAGTAAGGAGCCTCTTGGCAATGTTCATCTGAATTACATTTGAAATTCATTATGAATCACCTAGGACCATCTTTTTCTTTCCATTTGTAATACTACATAGTTTACATAGTGTTTAATTTTCAATCTTTTCCTCCATCAGATTTTAGACAATAGAAAAAGAAACCTGCCACTGAAAAATGTACAGGTAGTCCTCACTTAATCACCACAATATGGATTGGAATTTCAGTCATTAAGCAAGTCACCACATGACCAACCTGATTTATGACCACTTTTACGATGGTTGTTAAGTGAATCATGGTTGATAATACAAATACAATACAATACAAAATACTTTAATGACCAAGTATAAAATATATACAAGGAATTTGTCTTAAGTGAATCATGTGGTTGTAAAGTGAATCCAGCTTCCCCAATGGACATTTTTTGCCAGAATTCACTTAATGACCATGTGATTCACTTAATGACTGTGGTGATTCACTTAACGGCTGTCGTAAAAAGGTCACAAATCGTGACCACGAGGGGTGGTGAGATGGTTTGCGATAGTTGTAAGTGCGAGTACAGGTTGTAAAGCACTTTTTCCAAGGCTGTTGTAACTTCAAACCATTGTTAAACTAACAGTCGTTAACCAAGGACTACCTGTATCTGTTCTGTTAAATCCATCCCACACATCGGTTCTTTAAGAAGGTTTAAAATATCCTTCAAGTCTGAGCTCCTGTGCTGAGGAAAGGATCTGAAAGTAACCATTTGCTTTTTTTTCCCAAAAAAGTGAAGCATTACCTGTTGTAATAAAAATGAGAAAAGAGAGATAGCAATAGCTTTATTGGGTTAACAACACAGATTAGAATAGATGTATTAGTTCATACTGGGACTACCGTCTGTCAGTTTAATCCTGTGTCAAAAACAGATCTTTCAAATTGTCTCTTTTCCACGCAAGCCATTCTACAGCCTTGGAACAGTGACTCAAGCCTGGGAAGCAGGAAGGTGGAAAACAAATCTGAAACAGATGGATCTAGCACTCCTGGAAGCATTGGGATGAGACTACATGAATTTGTATCAAAAACGGTGAGTGAAGAAGCCTATCAGTTCTGGGCCCAATTCAAAGCCCAAATTGTTTTGGGACCAAGATACTAAGATAGTAGAAGAAACACCTCTTTGATTGTCAGCTGAGGTTGTGTTCTAAATGTTCTTTGGAAAAAGAGACTTGAAACATGGCAGTTGCTGTAATGGATACTGTTCCTGGCACACTGCAAATTTGTTTAATCATTTGATGCTTTGAATCTTGAATAAGATATCAAATATGTGGTGAAACCTTTTTTTTTTGTTTGCAAAGCCTTGTCCAGGAAGGCATATTAAGGGAGACATTTGCACATTTATTTGTCAGTATTTTTGTTTGTTTTGTTTTGCACGATGTCAAAGGTTGGAGGAAAACCACTTTGCAGACGTTTAACCATACATTTGCAAACTCATGTCCTATCTTCATTTGAAGCCATTTGTTAGCCAGCTTACATATAAAAAATGTAGTTAAGGAAAAAAATTCTTAATCAAGTTTACACTTTGCATAGGATTTAAATAATGACCCTGCCATAGAGTGTATTGTGCCTAGCTGCCAAATACCATAAAAGCCTAGATAATGTAATATAGCAACCTTGCTGAATAGGAAGCTGGTTAAAACAGCAGTACCGTTGCTGCTATAATTTGCTTTTGTTAGTCTTATCCAGGATTCTAACAGCTTGGAATTAGTTATGATTAAATTGGCATTGTCGGAGGGTGGGTCAGGATGAGCTGATACAACAGACATAGAGACAGTAATTAAACAAATTCTGGACACTATGATACCTACACTAATGAAGCAGTGTGATCTAATAATATGTACGAGTGAAATTATTATTTACACAACCAGTATGTTTTTCAGTATGTACATAGGATAAGAATTATAGGAAATCAAGTCTTAACTTACTTAATTTTTCTCCCTCTTATGTTTCTTTCACTCACTTTCTGCTTCTGATTTATTACAACTTCTTCTCCCACTTCTTATATCAGTTACTGATACTGGAATGTCTATGAGTTTTCTTCTGGCTGCCTTGCTGCCAGACCAAGCCTTTATCTCACAAAGCTCCATATCCAGCATCTGAATGTCTCTACACACAACACAGTCCATCTTCCTGATCTTTCCACACTCTCACAAAATTGCTCCACGCTTTTCCTCCTGGTTTTCCTCCTTGTCCCAGGACTGACATCCCTGGACTTGGCAGGCTGGGTTGTTCCTCCACTCTACTCCCTATTAACCAAGTAAAGTCCTCTCCAGCAGCATGTCTTGCAGCATCTGAAGTATTACCCCACCCCCCTTTCTCTGCTTCCCCTTTCTCTCTTTTTTAAATATTTTATATCTAAGGCACGTACATAGAACTTTACAGGTACATTCTAGCATTTTCCTCTTTTCTGCCTACTTGCTCTTGGTCTTGTGCTGGGTCATCTGCCTTTCCTTAAAAAAAAAAATCCATGACCTTGGCAGAGATCCAGCCACTTTCCTCCAGCTGGGCACTTCACACTGCCACAGGCATATAAGCTAAATAAAATAAAATAAATATGTTTAAATTGACGCCTTCATATTAATGTATCTTAGTGGTTAGTTGTAACTACTGTATGTGCCTGTTTTTTGAATTCAGTGTATTCATTGCTTATTCCAGATCAAGTTAGTTTACACATGTTCTTTCTCTAGGTTATTAAACCTGAGTCCTGCGTTCCATGTGGGAAGCGGATAAAGTTTGGAAAAATGTCCCTGAAATGCAGGGACTGTCGGGTAGTCACACATCCAGAATGTCGAGATCGCTGCCCCCTGCCCTGTACCCCTACCTTAGCAGGAACCCCTGTCAAAATTGGAGAGGTATGCTTCTAAATAAAATACCTTCAGTGGCCTATGATTGTATAAGTTTCTGTTGGACCCCCCCCCCAAAAAAAATTTGAAGGTTTAAATAGGTGAAAGTGTTAGTCCTGTGTGAAAATGTTTTTTCACAGCAATATTTCAAGATATTTTCTGGTGACTAAAGTTACTGTTGACACAGCCACCAACTCTTGTTATGCTGGAGTTTAAAGAAGTTCTTTAGATTCTAGATGCTGATAGAAAAGCATACACTGGAGACTTCCTATTAATATAAATGCAGTGTGTATGCGTAAAGCTTTCTTGCTAACTGTTTCTAAAGGACATTGGTATCTAGAAATACAAAATGAAAGAACAGGGGGAAAAAACCAGAGGATGTTAGTGCTTGATATTTTGGAAAGGGAACTGTTTACTTATATCTTACCATTTGTTATTCATGTCTAAGATTTTTCGAAAGAATATTATGATCCAATTATACAATATAAGCAGTTAAGGAAGGAGTAGTATGTAATAAATTTATGTTTAAAAAAACCTTGCACTTGCTGCTGCTGTTATTATACTATTAACATAGTACCCTTTTACAGTGTTCAGAAAGCATATTAAATTTTTAAGTATTCCAGTGTCTCTTGTATTGAGTTACTGAACAATTAATGCCATGTGTTTTCATTTCATATAAGTGCTATGGTACATTAATTGAGTTTGCTGGTAGAATCTTAACATCTAAGCTTTAGAATCTGGCATTTGGTCACACAAGTTAAATGGGTTCTTTGTTTCTTGCTTTCTTGGAATGCACTTACATGATATATTTCTTAAATGATTCTCACTAGTTTTGCTGTCAAATTATCCATTAGAAAACTGCCTTTGTTTTCTCCTTAGTGAGACTTGTACAAATGGAAAATAACTGTTGTTCCTTTCTCTTTTTTTAGGGAGTCCTGGTGGATTTTGTACCTCTGACGACTCCAATGATCCCCTCCATTTTAGTTCACTGTGTGAATGAGATTGAGAGACGAGGGTTGAATGAGGTAAGAGTGAACTTAAAAGGTGTGGATCTTCTTATGGAATTGTTTGGAATGCAGAAAATAAATATGCTTTCTGCCAAGACATTCTATATCCACCAAGATACAGAGAGACAGTTTGATCTAGTGGTTAAGGCACCAGGCTAGAACACAGGAGACTGTAAGTTCTCCTCCCGCCTTAGGCATGAAAAACCGGCTGGGTGACTTTCGGCCCATCTCTGTCTCTCAGCCCAACTTACCTCACAGGGTGGTTGTTATGGGGAAAATAGGAGGAGGAAGGCGTATTAGATTTGTTTGCCGCCTTAAGTTATTTATAAAAATATAAAGGTGGGATAAAAAATCTAAAAAAAAAAAAAGATGCAGCTACTTTCAGAATTGCTGATGTGGTGATTATGAACACCATCAAGCACTAGGACATATTACATTGAAGCTGGAGGGATTTAGAGAAACAAGCTTGGGATCTTGTTTTAAAAATCATTGTTTCAACAGACAGGCCTCTACCGAATTTCTGGTTGTGACCGCACAGTGAAAGATTTGAAGGAGAAATTCCTTAGAGGGAAAACAGTACCTCTGCTTAGCAAAGTGGAAGATATCCATGCTGTATGTAGCCTTCTTAAAGATTTTCTCCGCAATCTTAAGGAGCCTCTTCTTACATTCCGTCTCAACAAGGCCTTTATGGAAGCAGCAGGTATGAGTAATATAAGACTTTTCCAATGACTGGAACATTTTGAGTATAAAACTTTCCTCCACTAGGCAAGTTAAAATGCTGACTCTTAGCCTTTTTAATATGGCTTTTATCCATATGATATAGAAAAATAATATATGATTAGATCCCCTGCTCTTGTGTTTATATATAGACTCCACTTAATATTTAAGACTAGGCAACACAACTCCTGGAATTACCTGGAGGGTTAATAACATAAGCCCAGGAATAGTTTACCTAAATGTAAATGTTATACTAGATTTATAGTGTAGTATACTTATAGTGTAGATTTATAGTTTTTTCCCAAAATGCTAACTATTGTGATTTGGTCTTTTCTCTGCTGACACAAAATGGCCTGATATAACTTCCTTTTAATTCCTATATGTTGGCTTCATTTTGCTTTTATTTTTGTAGCTTTCTGTTTGAGGATCCAGTTTTATGTTTTTGTTAGTGCAGGACAGAAGCCCAAGACTAAAAGGATATAATTATATATTAGAAACCCCTTTCTTACTGATTGTTTTCTATCTTTCAACATAATATTTATTTTTCAAATTTCAGTGGTTTAATTCTTCATTTTTGTGCTGTTTATTTTCATAGATAGTGACAAATCTTAATCTATTAATGAAAGGAAAATATATACTCTTTGGGAGCACATCTTGGCTGTAAAATGCTTTGTAAACTTCCAAACTAGCCTACAAAAATATGTATTCTTCATTGACTCCCTAACACAATTTGCAAACACAGATTGGGTTGGAGGCACAAGTACTTCCTGTGTCTCCCATGAAGACATTTTGATCTAGCATTTTTTTTTTTTTGCCCCAGATGTGGAGAGTTATATCACTCTCATTTAACAGTTTACTGTTTGTTTGTTTATTAAATTTGTGTGCCACCCATCTCCCCCAGAGCGTTACTCTTTCTCTCTCTTTTAATTTCTAAAAGTTTTACTAAGACTTGAGTTGTGTATCACACAACACAAAGTGATTTGCTTGGGATTGATTTAATGTTTGTTTGAATCTAGCCAATTGTAGTTTATTTGGTAAATAATGATTAAGCAAACTATGGCTTAGTGTGATGTATGAACTCAGCTATATGTTGGGAAAAGCCTAATAAATTGCCATTTTAAATTAACTCCCCCTTCCTAACATGGAGACCAAAGTCCTAGAAACCTAAGCAATTATAACTTATATACCTGGAGAATATTCATTATTTATTAGAAAAAAACTGCCCTGATGAGTTGGAAGAGGTCATAGAAGTGCCTTTTTTATGTTTCCATTTAAAGAAATTGTGGATGAGGACAACAGCGTAGCAGCCATGTATCAAACTGTTGGAGAGCTACCACAGGCTAATAGGGAAACTCTGGCTTTCCTCATGATACATCTGCAGAGGTGAGTTCAGTTGTGTTACAAATTCTTGAAGAGGTGATAAGGAAAGATTCTTACACTGTAATTCTGTTCATTCAGGTTCTTGTGGGATTGGGGTGACAATGCAAGGAATAGTTCATAAGACAAAAACATATTGTTCCTCTTTGCACAAATGCTCTTAGATGTCTGTCTTTTCTCTAGAGTGGCTCAAAGTCCAGATACCAAAATGGATATTTCCAACCTGGCTAAAGTCTTTGGACCTACAATTGTTGGCCATGCTGTACCAGAGCCTGATCCCATGACACTACTCCAGGACACAAAAAGGCAACCTAAGGTAGGTCACCAGGGTGCATAACAGAATGGGAATGCTCAGTATTCCAAATGACATAGAATATATTTGTGTTTGGAAATGCTTAGCATTGATCTGTGCCACTAAAAAAGAAGAAGGGATTATATATCAATATGAATTTGTAGGTTGTGGAACGGTTGATCAGTTTGCCTGTGGGATACTGGAGCCAGCTTATGATGGTAGAACAAGAAAATATTGAGCCAGCTCACATCATTGAAAATTCCAATGCTTACTCCACACCCTGCACACCTGATATTAAAGGTAATTATGCCTTTGAATTGTTAGCTGTGATCCAACACATATGCTAGCTGAAACTTGGTAATGTGAACAATAGTGTTGCTTTTTCCATCAAAATGTGAATATCAGTGGATGTAATAATTCAATACAATGTACTTAACGCATCATCTTTTATCCATTTTGTTCTTATCAATGTCATCTTTTCTTCACTTCTTTATTGACTATCTATATAGTGTTAGAAGTTGAGATGACAATATCTGTTTCTAGACATTTGAACCAAGCATGGCATTCAAAAAGCATGTCACAAAATGTGTTTGTATGAGTGAAGCATCCGTCCTCAAAGCTTGAAAGTAGCCACTTTTTTTGAAAGACTCACATAGCTGCATTGAAGGCTGTCCCCGCTTGATTGCATGTGTGTATGTACACAGCACTTCCCCAGAACTACTAATGAAGTGTATGCATGTGCTTGCATTCATACATAGACAGCCAGGAACTGTGTGCCTTCCAAAGGATGCAGCTGCTTTAGGGGAGGAAGTCTTCCTTGTACTAAGGGAGTTTCCCTTATTTCCTCACTTTGTGGAATGTTTATTTAGAATAATTTGCACAGCTCAATTATACATGCCATAGAAAATGAGACTGCTACCAAAAATGACAACCTGTTGCCCAATTCACTCTCCTCTCCCCTGCCAGATAGTAATAAAAATGTGTAACTGCTCCCCTGTTGCATTGTCCAATAATAATCAGTGATGGGGAGCAGACCATAATGCCATTTTGCAATGAAGATGTAATTATTTTATATTCTGTCACCTGTGGATTGGATCCCTGCCCCATCTGACTGGCGAAGGCAGCTAGAGAGGAGGCACAGAGATGGATCCAGGTTGTAGTTAATCCTTGAGAAAGGGTGTGGTCTCAGCAGCCATGAAAGAGGCACTGGTTTGCCCATTTCTCAAGAAGTTTGGCCTGGATCCAGCAGATAATGAACAACTAGCATCCTATCTCCAATCTGCCTTTCTTGGGGAAAGCCATTAACAAAGTGGTGGGTCTGCAATTACAGAGAGCTCTGGAGGAAATTGACTATGGACCTATGGCAGTCTGGCTTCAAACCCAGACTTGGGATGGAAACTACATTGGTCATTCTCAGGGATGACTTTTGGAGGGTGGGAGTGCAACCTTTTTGCTCTTCTGTAACTCTCAGAGGCTTTTGATACTGTTGACCAGAGTATCCTGAGTTGACTGCAAGGGTTGGGAGCAGGAGGCACTGTATTACGGTGGTTCCACTCCTACTTGAGCAGACAGCTTCAGTCAATGGGGAGAAGTCAGGCTCTCACTTGCTTTGTTCTGGAATTAGCTAAAGCTCAGTCCTTTCCCCTATCATATTTTACATCATACGAAACCATTGGGAGGATCATCTGCTGATTTAGAGTGAGGTGGCATCAATATGCTGATGGTACCCAGTTATGTCATTGGTATACCTCTATCATGCTCCAGTGGGAGATATAGTAGAAATCCTGTCCCAGTGCCCAGAGACAGCCACAGTCTGGATGGGGAAAAACAGACTCAATCCAAGCTGTTAATTCAGAAATCTTCTGACTCCAGGATTGTATTATCTGTAACTTTCGATGGGATTGTGTTCCCCCAGAGAGAACAGACTCTCACAACCCAAAGTTCCTCCTAGACTCACAGTTCCTGCTTAAGTAACGGGGAAACTGTGACCAGGAGGGCCTTTGACTGTTATGCCATTTGCAACCTTGTATGGAACAGGATGTACTGAGGAAGATCACTTATACCTTTGTCATCTCCCAATTAGTTTATTGTAATTAGTTTTACTTGGGGCTGCCCATAAAGACCACCCAGAAATTTCAACTGGTCCAGAATGCAGTAGTCCACCCGCTCACAGGCCAATCTCTGTACAGCCACATTTCAATGCTGTGGGAGCTAAACTGGCTGCCAGTGTATTTCCAAGGGCAATTCTAGGCGCTGGTTGCTACCTTTAAAGCCCTGTTTGGCTCGAGTCCTGGATATTTAAGAGACTGTCTTTCCAAGTAGCCTCTGCCCATCCCTACTGCCCAGTAGCTAGAGAGTACTTACTAAGAGTTCTCATATGTCAGAAGGTCTGGCAGGAAGGAGCTCAATATTGGGCATTTTTAGTGGCAGCTCCCCTCTTGTGGACAACTTGTCACCTGACATGACAATGGCCCCTCATTCTCATGGCCTTCTGGAAACTAGTAGAAACTTGGCTTTTCTGAAAGACTTTTGGGGATTGATTGTAGAGCCACAGATAGAAATGTACACGCACACACACAAAGTGTGTGTATGTGGATCTGTATTTTTTTTTCTTATTTGATATTGTTATGATTTTGCTACTGAAATTTCAAAATGTAATTTTATTTCATGGCTATTTAAATATCTGTAAACTGCCTAAGGTCTGTGAGAATTGAGGTGATAGATAAATTGCAGAAATAAATACATTTGACAAGGGTTGCCATTCTTTGTGAAAAACCTCTACTGAATCTTTTCTTTCACATCCAGTCTGATTCTCTATTACAGCAGTATGTAGGGTATGTACCTCCCCTTGTTCTGATAAAACTGGGTCTGCTACTTCAATCTACCTAAATTGTGTTTCAGTATTGTGGGATTTTAATCTTTTTGCTTTGCAGAACAATTGCAGGACAATAGTATGAACTGTGGAGTCCTTGGGGTTCTCTAAGCTTTGCTGTTTTCTTGCAAACGTTTTGTTACCCAGCTAGGTAACATCTTCAGTGCTAGAATGGAATG